CCTACCGCTTGGAGAGCATAGGTACCTATGGCAGTCAGTTGGATTGCCAAAACGCCTTGTGAGCCTACCTTGACAGGTGGCTCAAGGAGGGGTGATGAAAGGTGTGGAATGAGACGCACCCTTGTGGCTTTGGCTGTTGTGGTTCCAGGACATGCCGTAGGCATCGGAACACAAGTAGCGAAGCAGCACAAGACATGCAGGCAACAGGTCGCATGTGTGTTCTGTTCTGGCCGTGTGTTCTGTTGGTGCGGTGGCTTCCGTGGTAGAGGTAGGACCGCTGACTGGCCAATGGACTTCGGTGCTGCAGTGTGAGGAAAAAGGGCCTCTGGTGGTGCAGCGTCTGCTTTGTGGTGGTCGTACAAGGAGTACAAGCTGAGCCACAGAGACAAGAGCCAAGCACAAGCACCCCAAGCTGCCATGTCGTTTGCTGGACCTCAAGAGCCCCGCGCTCTTGATAGGGTTTAGGGTTTAGGGTTTAGGGTTTAGGGTTCAAGAGCTCCTGGTCGAGCAATTTCTCGTTTAGGCTCTGTGTTTAGAACATCGAAAAATACCCACCCACCCGAAGTTCCCATAACATTAAGAAATAAAACGTTTCTTCTTTTTATTAGGATGGTTCAATAACAAAATGAATGACTTCCACTTAACAGACGAGGAGGTGGAGATACTAAACCACGCGAGCTGAGGCTCAAACCTTGAAAAAATTTTAAAAAATGAAAAAATCGAAGGAAAAAAAGAAGGAAAAAAAAGCCTGGGGTCCCCCCCATTTGGGGTGTTTGTTGGAAGCAAATTTTTCCTCATGGGGGGGTCGGAAATCGAGGCAAGGGGGGGTCTCCGAAGATTATTTTGCCTTTAAAATCGAAAAATGACCCCAGGTCGCGGAAAAGTCTTGAAAAACTTGAAAAACACAAAAACCCAGAAAACGAGAGGCCACCCAGAACCCTCGATTTCAGTACTAAAAATTCGCATTTTCATTGCGGGTCTAGGCCAAGCCTGAGGTCCCTTTCGGGGTGTTTTTTGAAGCAAACTTTCCCTCTCAAGGGGGGGTCGGAGTTTGAGGCAAGGAGGGTCTCCAAAGACTATTTTGCCTTTAAAATTCAAAAATGCGACCCCCCCTTGACCGAAATTAGGCTGTGAAAAGGTCGCGGGGGCAGCCCTTCCTCAGAAAAACCCTAAAAAAACCCGAAGAAACATGGAAAACCTTAAAAAAACATTGAAAAACCTTGAAAAACCCTGAAACTTGAAAAAACACGGCGTTGAGGCCTTGAAACCCTAAACACAGGTCTTGAGGCCTTGAAACCCTAAACGCTGGGCCCTGAAACCCTAAACACAGGCCCTGAGGCCTTGAAACCCCAAACGCTGGGCCCTGAAACCCTACCTAAACACAGGCCCTGAGGCCCTGAAAGGATAAACGCAGGCCCTGAGGCCTTGAAACCCTAAACGCTGGGCCCTGAAACCCTAAACACAGGCCCTGAGGCCCTGAAACCCTAAACACAGGCGCTGAGGCCTTGAAACCCTAAACACTGGGCCCTGAAACCCTAAACACAGGCCCTGAGGCCTTGAAACCCTAAACACGGGCTTTGAGGCCTTGAAACCCCAAACGCTGGGCCCTGAAACCCTAAACACAGGCCCTGAGGCCCTGAAACCCTAAACACAGGCCCTGAGGCCTTGAAACCCTAAACGCTGGGCCCTGAAACCCTAAACACAGGCCCTGAGGCCCTGAAACCCTAAACACAGGCCCTGAGGCCTTGAAACCCTAAACGCTGGGCCCTGAAACCCTAAACACAGGCCCTGAGGCCCTGAAACCCTAAACACAGGCCCTGAAGCCTTGAAACCCTAAACGCTGGGCCCTGAAACCCTAAACACAGGCCCTGAGGCCCTGGAACCCTAAACACAGGCCCTGAGGCCTTGAAACCCTAAACGCTGGGCCCTGGCCCTGAAACCCCTAAACACAGGCTTTGAGGCCTTGAAACCCTAAACGCTGGGCCCTGAAACCCTAAACACAGGCCCTGAGGCCCTGAAACCCTAAACACAGGCCCTGAGGCCTTGAAAACCCTAAACGCTGTGCCCTGAAAGCCTAAACACAGGCCCTGAGGCCCTGAAACCCTAAACACAGGCCCTGAGGCCTTGAAACCCTAAA